TTAGCATTTTATTCAGATAATTACCCAGAATTAAAATTGCTAGGTCATATGATAGCTCTATTTTTAACTTTTTGAGGAACGTCCATACCGTTTTCCATGGTGGCTGCACCAATTTACTCTCCTACCAATAGTGCACCAGTTTCCATTTACTCCACAAACTTGCCAGCATTTGTTATCGCTTGTCTTTTTGGTAATAGCCATTCTGACCGGTGTGAAGTGATAGTCCACAGCAGTTTTTAAAGATCTGTTTAGTCAGTCTCCCCTGATTTATCTGAGCTCCATGAAACCACAGCCTGTATCCGCTGTGCTCAGGGTTCTCCCCTAGGAGCTAGAGTAGTGATGGAAGAAGCATTTGAGGGTATGCAGGCATTCTAGCCTAGCCGTTGGCTATCGCTGGCTGTATGCCTCTGGCAAACCCCTCCCCATCTGGAGGTCTCAGTTTCACCAACTAGAAAATGAGGCAGGTGGGCTGGGTAACCTCCGAGAACTCTCACCATCCCAACGTTCTAGGTTGAACAACTTGAGAACACTTAACAGCGTAGCATCAGCTCGAGGCAAAACAATTTCAGAGCAACACCACCCGTGAAGGAGGACCCTGGGAATGTAACTCCCTCCCGTGGTATGGGCCGTGTTTACAAAGTAAACCCAAGAAATCACCATAAATCATTCCAAGTGGAGCTGCCTGGGCTGAAACACCAAGACAAAAATACCTCCTGGCACAGCAACCCTGGGCCCCACCCAGCCGACGAGAAGCAGGGCCAGCCAGTGCTGCACCCTCTGAAAAGTCACTTGTGGGTTTTTCTTTCCACACTGGGCCCCTCTGCAGAGCTTCTCTCCTACCCTTCAGACCCCTAACCCCTACTAGGACCTCCACTGTTCTAGTGCCTGGCAAAGAGGAAATGATACGAAAAAAGACAAAAGATTGCGTTCTTAGTCAACCACTTCTGAGATGGATGTCACTCTCAGTATATGTTTCCTATGTTCTAATCTGATCTGTCAAATGGGGGTTGTACCATCTGTTCTAATGATCTTGAAAAAACACAGAGGGGAAATACTTTGAAAATCTTAAAAGGCTATATAACAAATGCAAGGGTTGCTTTCGGCCATAGTTTCCAACCTGCTGGCTTACTAAAACGCAGCCATCAAGAATCTCTGTATTTTATCTGTAACTGGGGAATGGAAGGCTTGGTCACAGAATCCCCAGGCAACCAAGTCCAAGTCACAGTATCTCAGGCATCCGAGTACCAGGCTGTTGAATCTTCCTAGACTGGCTCAGCTTGCCCTAAAGGTAGATCGAATTCAAGCTTTTCATCATGTCCCTGAATCGGGGTCAGGGGCCCTAACTCTGCACCAGACCCAGTCCTAAGAGCTTCCCCTGGGTACAAAAACGCCTGAGTCCTGTGACTCTGGGCACGTTGACAGTGTAGCTGAGGGGTTCAGAGCATGCACTCTGACGCCAGACAGTCCTTGGTTGAGTTCCTCTCTGCGCTGACCAGCTCTATAAGCTTCCCTTCCTCTTCAAGGAGACGAGGAGAGCTGAATGACTGACAGACTGACCTCACTGCTACAAGTGATGATGCACGTGAAGCAATTCGCTTTGTGAACACGTCACATGTTAGGCATTCAAAAAATATAATGTTACTGTTATGGTATGTTGTCACTTTTTATTCCAGGGTCAGAGACCTGCTCTCACTCACCCACACACACCTCCACACACGCACCCTGGTCTTCTCCAAATGCCCTGAGCACTCTTTCCACTTCCTGCCTTGTCCAGCTTTGCTGTGTCCTTCCTGTTTTCCTCTAACAACTCCCTGAGACAAACATTTCTAAATTTACCTTGTAACTGACCTTATTTTACTCAGTATTGCTCAGGACGTACATCTGAAAATGAAAGTTCTAGACAAAAAGTCGTGGTCAGTGAATACACCAAACTCAAGTACCACTAAGGAGACACCTGGGCACCCGAGAAACATGACACAGGAAATAGATTCCTGGCTCTTTGGGGCTGAGGTTTTCAGAACTGGCTTAGCCACCGATGACAATTGCCAAAGGAGTTAACATCCCTGAAGTCTTAGTCTTCCTAGCTGTAAAACTAAAATATCTTTTTGCTTGTTTGCTTATAAGCCTTTTCTTCTAGCGAGACAAAAAAACATTTTGCGAGACAAAAAAATATTTTGCAGAAACTCAGTATGTAAAACATTTAACAGAATAACAGCTCTGGATATAGGAGAGGGAGGGCAGGCTCTTGACTGACAGCCTGCCTTATCTTCACACGGTCTTGTGCCTTTCTTGCACCCCTGGGGCAGCCTAGATGTCCCCACGCGCACCCATAAGGCTTCAGAGAGACCTGACGATGTGGCTCTTTGTGCCTCAGCTTCCTCAGCTGTTAAATGGGAATAATAACTATTCCTACCTCAGAGGGTTGGCTATAAGAATTTAATGAGTTAATACATACAAAAGTCTTGGCACAGGAATCTGCAATCATGTAGATGCATCATAAAAACGTGCCCATGCACAGGGAACCACATTCAATATCTTGTAATAACCTATAATGAAAAAAGAATATGAAAAATATATATGCCAGAAACTAAACACAACATTGTAAATCAACTACAATTAAAAAAAAAAAGCACCCATGTAAGGAGATTGTGAACTACCCCCAGCACCCCACCTCCACTCTCTTCAGAACACAGGAGGAGATGTGATATTTCTTCACAAGATGGATAAATTCTGTTTCTGTTGAAAGCATGTTTTATAAAACAATATTTCTTTCATTCCTTGATTCATTTGACAAACATTTACAGAGCTCCTATTCAATGCACCAAGGTTAGTATTAGGAATATAAATAGAAGAGACAAAGAAAGAGAGAACTCACATGAACAATGCCAGCCAGGCTGTGTTTAGTAGCTGGTGACCCATGCAGTCATTCATCCAACAAATATTTATTGTGCAACTACTATGACCCAGGCAGCATGCTGAGGACACAATGACAGCGAAGAAAAATCAGTTCCCAGCCCTGTGGGGTTCGCTTTCTAAGGGTTATGGATAGGAGTGGCCAAGGAATTATGTGGAAAGAAAGATCCACAGGAGCTGAGGATATGGGAGGTGGAGTAGAGGGACAGAAAAGCAACCAGAGAGCAGAGAATAAGATAGGACTTCAGCAGAGCTGATTCAAGAGAGGAGCAAAGGTGTAGCCCCAGGTGAGGTGGGGCTAAAGGGAACAGTGTGAGCCAAATTATTTATCCAAGGGATTTCCAAGAACACTACTATTTGCTCCTATTAATTTGTTCCTAGGAGGACACATACAACTTTTGGGGGAAACAGCTTTTTATATTTTAAATAAGCTCTTTTATAAACAATTATTGAAAGGTCATTTGACATAAGCAATGTGATTTTAAATAGATCCTAGCATTAATCTTCTCTTCATGAGAAACTGGCCAGGCTCTTGTTTCACAGAACTTCTCATTCTGGGAAATTAGTTTGAAAAAAATTAACTGCGTTTAAGGGGCACTGAGTATGACTTTCAATATGGTGCCCAAGATTTGTATTTAGGAAGGAGCTAAAGATTTGGAGAAGATCCAAATTTGGATACTGGATTCTCACTAATTGAAGTTCCTCTCTCCAGACCCATTTCTTCTTTGGCAAAATGTGGAGCCTGATGCCTACCACAAAACGGGAATATCACACAAGATAACAGATGCCCAAGTGACCCATAGAAATTAAAGTACATAGAAATTACTCATATTTATTTTAATATAACTTCCTTTCTTTGTTTCCTTTGCCCCCAAGCATAACAAAATTGGATTATTTTCGTGACTCCTGTTTATTTTGTGTTACTAAGGAAGAATCAATATCTAACAATGGTGTTGCAATTGTCCTGGGCTCACGTGTCACCAAGGAATCTCTAATATAATCTGTCAGGGAAGCCCATTCAAGCAGAGCCTTCTCAGGCTGATCCTAAGACACAAGGTGAGTAGGCTGGTTAAAGACAGCTCTTGGTGAAGCCACTGAGCCAGAGTCTAGCTTCCAGGACTCTGCTGTCTGCCCTTCACACACCACAGAACGCTTGAGTTTATGCCTCCAAACCCACCCCCCTCCCTGGCTCTGTCCTTCCCAGTGTCCTCTCCTCCACCCGTCCACCACACCAGCCCCTTCCTTTCTCCCCATCTGAACCCACCGCCAACTCCCTGTGTGTCCTTCGATTGGTTAAGGTGTTTGACTTGGGGGTTTAGGGGGTTTTATCCATAAAAAGGACATGATGAGAAGAATCTCTACCCCATAGACTTGTTTTCGGGATTAAAGGTGGTCATGCATCGTAAGGACTTCACACAATTTGAGGCAACTGTCAGCACTCAAAGTCTTTGCTATCGTGACTATTCCCCCAGTATTTCCTTCCTTCCCACCTCCCCTCCCTCTCTGGCTTCCTTCTTCCCTGATCTGTCCCTCAGTGGCTCCCTCCTGCCCATCCACTGCCCCACTTCCTCCTGCCTTCCCCTCGTTCCCTGCCCTTGACCTCTGTGCCCCTGCCTCCCCTCACCCTGACAGCTTTGCCAGCCATGAGTCATGCGAGTTTGCTCCCACATTGGCTCCTGAAAGGCTCTGGCTGGGAGGCAGGCGGGCTGCAGAGGAGACACAAGCCGAGGCAGGAGAACAGTGCTGCCAGGGCCGCATTTGCCAGATGGAGCCAGCCCAGAACCTGACTTCAGGGAGCCTCCAGGACTTGAACATGCATTTTGGTGCCACCAGACATTATCTGGGGGAAGGATAAGAGTCCCAGAGTCCCTGAGGACTGGGAGAAAATAAGTTTTGTATTGCCCATCTTTGCTGAATGGGGAGAAAGATTGATTCTGATCATTTTTAAGCCGTTTTATTTAGTATCTAGGAAACTCTCCACTGAGTCTTCTCTCAATCTGCAAGTGCCAGGGCTCTTGGCTGAGCCCTGAGTGCCTTCTCATCTCCCTCTTCCGCCCCTCATTTCTCTCCCAGGCTGAATTTGGCACTGGACTCTAACAATCCTCGGTCCCACGACACTGAAATTATCTTAGTCCTGTGCATGTGGGTTAGGAGCACATGATCAGGATGCAGACAGACCTAGGATTTAATACTATTTGCCAATTTGTTCTTGTGACCTTGCACAGGGTGTTTAATTTCTCTATGGGTTTATTTGCTCATTTACTCATTCGACAAATAATGGAGATGAGTACCATAAATGAAACACTGAGGAACTGAACTAAACATATTGGGGGCGGGGGTGCCGCAGGGCAGTGTGGAGACCTATTTTAATGCAGTGAACAGAGATGGCCTAGAGCAGCAGTTCTCAACCTCAGAACAATTAACCTTTTGGGCCCAGTATGTCCTTCCTGGGGTGGGCGTGGAGCTGACCTGAGCATCACAGGATATTTGACAGCATCTGTGGCCTCCACCCTCCAGAAACCAGTAAACATCTCCCACGTTGTGACAACCAAAAATGCCTCCAAGACATTGCCAGTGTCCCCTGAGGAGTGGAAGAGAGGACCAAAATCACCCTGAGTTAAGAACCTGAGGCTTAGAGTATGAGTCACACAGACTTGGGTTTGAGTCTTTCTTCTACCATCTGTTTGCCTTGGTGACTTTGAGCAGGTAACTAAGCCCTCTGAGCCTGTTTCCTTGTGGGTGTGATTTGGTGTTGCTGTGAGGAATAACATCTCTTAGTGCTGTTACGAGGAATAAATGAGATAAGCGAGATAACAACGGTGCAATAATGCAGCGGCTACTGCTGATGTCGTTAACACTGCGTATCTGGCTCTCCTCCTGGCCTCTGGCCCCCTGGGGACAAGAACTGGCTCACAACCCTGTCTGAGTCCCCAGCCCAGAGCTCAGAAGCCAGGACTCCTTACAAACCCGGTGAACTTTCACAGCCTAAATCTCACCGTACCCACCCGCTCCACACATACTGCAAGCACACACAGGACAAAGCAGATAATCAATGCTAACCCAGTGACTGGCTTTGATTGGACCCCAAGGTAGTCCCAGTTGTCAGTGATTTGATATCTGATCAGAACTGGGCTTTTCTCGTGAAGAAAGAGGAGGCTCCTCCCTGCCCTGCTAGGAGAAGGCTGTACTCTTCGGGAAGCTCATTCCCCTGCAGGGAGTGGCTGATGAAAGATAATGTTGCCTTCGGTCTTCCTCTTCTCCCTCAAACAATTGAAGGGGCCTTTCCTTTTCCCGTTTGGCTGGTTTGAAGCCCCTGATGCGCTTCTGCGCGTCACATCTTGCCTCTGTGCGGGATCTGTGGCTCAGCCAGCAGACCGAAAAGCATTTCTTTTCAGATGTCCATGCCAATCTGGGGTGAGCGGGTTGGCATCTTGCAGCCTCTCTGGTGTCCTTCCTGAGCATTTCGTGAGACAAGTTTCCACCCCCACAGAACTGGACATGAGGGGAGGGACAATGTCACACTTTCTCCCAGTGTCCTTATCCTTCCTCTTTGCTGGGGAGTGTGTGATCACTGGCACCCTGTGCAAACTCCACACCCATCCCAACCTGTCACCCTGAAACTCCTTCCAGATCTACTCATCTAGGATTCCTTTATCTTTATAGAGCCCTGAGTAATTCCTCCTTGGCATAGATAAAAGTAAATCCAACAGGCATTTACCTTATCAGTTTCCTCCCCTAAGAAATTATTTCAAACACTCTTCAAGGCCTTGCTTGTCCCTGTGCCTGGCAATACTGGCTCAAGTCCTCCATGGCTTCCAGATCCTGCCTTGAAGCAATTTTGGCAAGAGAAGATAGGGCCTGGTTAAAATAATAAAACACAACACAACAAAAAAGTATTTCCCAGAAAATGCTAATGTATAAGACACTATTCCTGGTGCTGTGGTGGCTGCGGTGATGAAGGCAGGCCACTGCTCTGTGAGTGCCCTGTCACACCTGCACAGAAGTGCTCAACGAACGTCTGTGGACAACAACACGGCTCTCTAGGGGGGATGAGAGGACTGACGTCTATTGGACGTCTGCTGTGTACCAGGACCTTATTGGGCACTCTAGGTCCAAAGGTGAACAACAGACAACCCTACAGACAAACTTAGACCTGGTGGAGACAGGTCTGTCCACAGAAAATGTAGTCAGTAAGCGGTAGGAGAGTGCTGTGAGTACCTAGAGCAGTGGTTCTCAGCCTGGGGGCTGAGTATTTCGAGTGTGAAGACCGCAGGACTTTCTAAAAGGGTTAAAGGGTATTTTCCTTTTGCCAAAACAAGCAAACAAACAAAAATCAGACAAGCATCTTTCTTAGATCACTGACTAGAAGATAAACAGAGTGGTAGGGTGTCAGTTTAAAGAACCTAGGATGGGAAGTCCACAGACCTTGTTCCTGACCCTTGTAACCATCATGGACTTGTTAAATGACCTCTAGTCATTTTAACTCTCTCAGCTTCAGTTTCCACATCTGGAAAATGACTGTGAGAGTATCTGATAGCCTCTCCTCACAAGGGAGCTTTTAAAAACCAAGTGTGATGTTTCATTACAAATCATACTAAGAGATATCATTTATTGGGCGCAGGGGGCTGAAAACCATCTTTTGATCCTCACACCTTTAGTCTCGGCAAAGCTGCCCTGTTTGTGCCACTTGACAGACATCACTCCAGAGTGACCATTTATTTTAAAGTATGAGAAATGAGAAGAAATATGAAGAACTGAGAGTGAAAGTCAGGGATTCTACCACCTCCCCACTCCCCTTACCCCCTACCACCCACTCCTCTCTCTCCTTTCTCTCTCTCCCCTGCCTCTGCAGCTGCTCCACAATCTGGCTGCATTTCAAAACTTCTTTAAACAGAACCTTGCCAAAACAATACACAGTCCTCTTCAAAGCATGGTCCCATATCATATTTTCAGGAGCCATAGGAGGTTTAGGTGGGAAGGAGTCAGTGTGTGTGCAGGATGCTGGTGACTAGCCAGAGGCCATTACCTGGGGCCAGTCTCCAGGCATTTGGGGTGGGGCTGTGGTGGGTCTTATGATGGACGCCTGGAGGAGGACTGCAGGGAGGGGGCTGCGTAGCTGAGGTTTCTGAGTAGAGAGGAGAAGGATCATGAGGCCAGCATCCCTCCAGGCTGGACAACCTGGTAAACTTGGGTGGGGGCCCCAGGCAGCAGCAGAGGGCTTGAAAATCTCTGCAGATGATGCTGACAGCCTTTGTCACTACATCTGACAATCCCAAAGAAGCACAGCAAGACAGAGCTTTCAGGCTGGAAAGTCCATTCTCATACCACCTCCCCTATTTTTGCCATAAGTATATGCCCTACATATCATTCTTCAATTTTTTTTTAATGACTCCACTTTTCCTTTGAGGAATTTTAAAGGACATTTAAAAGTCACATCAGTGGTAGAAGCTTCCAGTACTCACCATCTCAGTCCTCCTCTTCTCAGACACAAGGGAAGATTACAATCTTGGTGTCTCCCACCGCCACCTCTACATACACCACCTTGAGTTGGGCAGAGCCTCGTGATGCTTCTGGCCAATGGATTGTGGAGGAATTAGTCAATCGTTCAATGAAAGCAATTCAATACAATGTTCTATTTATTAAAAAACACAGAACGATTCTATATATTTTCTACAGTTTGATATACTCTTTAGACATATCCATAAATCTATAGATTATAGAAATGTCTGAAAGGATGGATTCACAGCAAATTAAGGGCAGTCTTACCTCCGGTGAGGCACCTGAGCTGCAGATGGGGAAGGGGAGATGGTAGTTTAAAAAAAGAACTTGAAATTTGCCTCTATATTTTAAATCTTCATAAAGAGAATATTCTTATGGATTACTTATACAAGTAAAAATTAATTTTAAGGTGAACAGCAAAACAAAACAAAAAAAAGAAATAAAACTGGGAAGTTATGTTGGAACTGTATTCTGAAGCACCTGAAATGCCAAGCTATGAGTTTGTGCTTAATGCTGCAAGCTGCAAAAGCCAAGATGAAAGTGTGGACGGTCATGAGAAGGCCCTGATCCAGGCTGTGATGGTGCTGCCTCCTCCTCCTTGAGAGGGTGTGGGGACTGGATGCCTAGACATACATGAAGGAGTATGTGTCATAAAGTTGAGACAGGAGGGAAGGGGGCAGGGCACAGCCACTCGAGGAATGACAGCAACCAAAATGGTGGAAGATTCACCTCCTAGTTGGCCTTGAGGATTAAGAGGTTTGACTTCTAGCAGAACTTGAGCTTCATTATATGCTCATTGTAACAGCGTGATCAAATAACATGCCCACAGGTGCCATGACAGTCCCAAGGCTAACCGCAAAAGGCTAAAGAATGGGCAGTGGCCCAATTCTGGGAATTTCAGCCCCTTTCCCAGGACAGTTGAAATGGTCTTACCTGTAGGTGTGTGAAGCTACTGAGCCCATAAAAAGTGGCAACACCACACCTAGTGGCCTTTTTTGCTCTCTCCCCTTTGGACATGGCCCACACTCTGTCTATGGAGTGTGTACCTACTTTTACTTTAACCCGAGCATCCAATCCCCACACCTCTTTCCTTGCCTTTCTCTTGCCTTACACTCTATGTATGCAGTATGTATCTCTCTAAATAAATCTACCTTTACTCAACGGTGGCTCGCACTTGAATTCTTTCCTGCACGAAGCCAAGGACCCACACTTGGTGGGGCATGTCCCAGGGGCTCAACCGAGATGTGGGACTCTGCCCTTCTCACGCCCCACATCCGTTTTCCTTCATCAGAGCGACTGCTCTGTCAGCATCCCTGGTCTTATCTCCTTCCTTCCACTCTGGTCATTTTGAACTTTCCCATCCTCAGGAACATGCCAAATTCTTTCTGCCTCAGGGATTTCGTAGCTGCTGTTCCTTACTCCCCCTGTTCCTTTCTTCCCTCTCCTTCTCACCTGTCGGGGTTCAGCCTAAATGTTAGCACCTCAGGATGCCTTCCATCACCTGCCCCTGTAAGTCGTTCCCCCAGTCCACCATGTGTCTCTGTCAAAGCATCCTGTTGGTTTCCTTTAGGAAACTTGTCACAATCTGTAATCATATCTATGGGGGGTTTATTTGCTTTATCTGTTTATTCTTTTTCTTCCCTACTCACAAGTATGTAAACTTCACAAAGGCAGGGTGTTGTGTTCATTGCTGTCCTCCAACACCCAGTAGAGTTGCTAGCACAACGTACAGTTAGAAGTAGCAGTAGTAATAATAATAATAGCTACTATTTATCGAGCACTTACTATGTGTCAGGCATACATTTACATGCTTCACATATGTTGATTCATTTAAATGTCTTAATAACCCTTTTGGGTGGGCATCAATATTGTCCCTATTTTACAGATGAAGAAACTGAGGCACAAGAGAGCTTAAGAAATTTGACTAAGCTCACACAGCTGGTAAACAACAAGGTCCTACTGCATAGCACAGGGAATTATATTCAATACCTTGTAATAGACTATAATGAAAAAAGAATATGAAAAGGAATATATATATGTATGTATAACTAAATCACTATACTGCACACTAGAAATTAACACAACATTGTAAATCAACTATACTTCAATTAAAAAAAAATCACACAGTTGGTAAGTATCAGAGCTGGGATTCCATTCTTGAGTGCGCCACAATATTTTGTTGAATGATGAATGGACTAATTAACACAATGTTGGTTTGTGGTATTCTTGAGGTCCTTAAACTCCAAGTACCAATGGTGCAATTTGCCTTAGAATAAATGAGAATGATTAGCTTAGTCGATAGAGTGTGTGTCTGCAGGGGGGTCATAGCCCTTAGGAGGAAAAGGCAGCTATTTACCATGGAGAGGCAGCAGATCGAGCTTTGTGTGACAGGGTTGATGGCAGGGCTGCAAACAAGAAGCAGGGTATGCTGGCACAGACGTGGGCAGCTCACCCCGCCCCAGACCACATTACCTGGAGAACACTCCCTGCCAAGCCCCATCACAGCCAGAGCTCTGAGAAAGGAGTTCTGGGAGCAGTGGAGAACTGGTCTCCCCAAGGAAGTCAGAGAAGCCAGCCTCTGAATCAGGAGAGGGAGATCTCTGTTCTCTTCTGCCCTGGTCTTTAGCAGCAAGATCTTCCCAGATGCCACACCTTATCAAGTCCTACTAGGTGGATCCCAACAGCTGCCAGCTATGACTCTGCATGCAGGCATCAAGAGGAAAAATAACCGTACAAGGCAGCTAAACTCACCATGTTCTCATCATGCGCCAGGTATGGTGTGAGGGGCTTTACATAAAGTACCTCCTTTAATTCTCGTAACAGCCCTGGAGGTTCCTTCAACCTTCATTTTGCCAATAAATGTGGTATCCAGTCCCTGCTGTGTTGATGAATCGAGTACTATTTTTAATTCTGTTTTACAGATGAGGAAAAAGAGACTTGGAAAGATTATGTAATTTTCCCAAGTTAGATACAGGCAGCATTATAACCTGAACTCAGGTCTGCCCAGTGCCAAAACCCTCCTTCTTAACCTCTACTCCACATTGCCTTCTGATTTTAAAACCACTGTTTATTTCTACCTATATGTAAGGTATTGTACTATAAACACTAGGAGGAATTATTCAACAAGATAATGTTGCCTGGCTCATAATAAATGGTCAGTAAATGTTAGCTCATGTTATCCTACGTACTATATGCTTATATACCTTGATGGTTAATTTTACTTGTCAACTTGGCTAGATCACAGTGTCCAGATATTTGGTCAGATGTATCTGGGATATTGCTGTGAAGGCATTTTTAGATTAAATTAACATTTAAATCAGTTGACTTTGACTAAAGGAGATTACCCTCCATAATGTGGGTGGGCCTCAACTAATCACTTGAACTTAATAGAAAAAACTGTCCTCCCCCAAAGGAGAGAGAATTCTACCTCCAGACGGCCTTCAGACTCAAGCTGCAACATCAACTCTTTCCTGGGTTTTCTTTCTGTTGGCCTACCCTGCAGATTTTCGATTGGCAACCTTCACAATCACATGAGGTAATTCCTTAAGATAGATAGGGAGGTAAGTAGATAGAGAAATAAACATAGATATAGATATAGATATACCCATCATATATATATTACATCCTACTGTTTCTCTTGCTTCTATTTCTTTGGAGAAGCCTGACTCCTGGAGATACTTAATAATGACAATAACCAGATGAGCAGATGAAAGCTGGGGAGGTTTATATTAGAGGCAAAGAATTCAAACTGCCCAAATTCCTCTAGAAATCTAGCTCCTAATGAATACAGCCTACAACTGTTACAGTCATCTCCACTTCTGTGAAAAGAGCTGATTTTCCTAATTTGGTTAGAAATTAATTAGAGATTCATGGTAGTTCTGCCCATTCCCTCCTCCCTCCAGGTCTGTTTCCCATCCATAAAATAAGGACCGTATAACACTTGATGACAACCACAGAAACGAATGGGCAAGTCCACTGAGGGTCAGGTCCTCCCTTTGCCACCCCCCTAGCTCAGTGTGGAATGGGCGGTGGCAGTGGAGGTGCTGAGGAAAGAGCCCCTGTCTGGCAGCCAGAAATCCCGTGGGCTGGACCCAAGGTCACCACTCACCAGCCTGGCCCCCTGGGGCAGATCTCACAGGTCCTGGCTTTAGTTTCCTCCTTACCAAAACAGTAGTGATAATAACTACTCTGAGGGTGACTGCAAAAATCAACATGAAATTGTGTATGTGACATTGTTTTACAAGCAGTAGGTTTTCCCTCTCAGAAAGAGCAATCAGGCTATTGAGTAACTGTAAGCCATTTCTGGACTCCACATCAGAGTGGGGTCAGCCCTGGGCAGTGCTCTGGAGTCAGCCGGCCAGGATGGTTGATGGTCATTGCTCACATGCCCTGTCACTGCTCACAGGGCGGGTGCAAATCTGGTCCTAGTGCCCCTTCAGTGGCAGCTATTTCAGCTTTGATGCTGGGTCTCATGTTCTCTTCCTAACAGCTCCATGAAGTCGGCAGCCCAAGCAGGAAGGGGGTTAAACTCACAGCCACACACCGAGGTAGAGGCTGAGTTTGGCTACTGCCCCATCCAGACTTGAAATCCAGTGTCTGCCCCTCCCCACCTCCAGGTAAGGTCAAGCTGTCAGTCAGAACTTAACCTCATGATTCCAGGGCCAGGAGACCAAAGTGACTCAGTCACAAATCCTCCTTCTAAAGCTGAGGACCTCTAATCACAGCAGAGGATCTGGGAGACAGAGAAGACTGAAAAGAGAAATTAATTTGGGGGAAAAAAAAAACAGGGAAACATCAGCAAGATTCTAATCAGAAAGTCACGCTGCCAGCAGAACTGAGAATCATTTGTCAAATGTCTCTCGGAACTCAAACTTGATTATCGCTTTCCCGTTATCTTATGATTTGGGGAAATGAAATAGATTTTCATAAGACTAATCTTGGTCACCAACTCACTTTGTGACATTAAGCAAGTCATTTAGTATCTCTGAGTCTCAGTTTTCTCTTTCATTAAAAAAAAAACGGCAGTACAAAATCAGTTTCAAGACTTCGGAACTTAGACTTCTAGGGTCAT